ACTTATATATACAGTGTAATTTTCCGACTAACTGGACACCCTCAACCTAGTATAGCTACGCCCCTGAGTGTGTCTGATATATGATTGGTTAATGATGATTCTCAACAACATCTAAAAGTTCTCGAGCTTACTAGACGGAATTCAATCAAAAATGAAAATTTATTTTTCTTAGAAGGAGATGAACTACCTATAGATTTGTATGCAAGTGCACGATAGGAATTAGGAGAAAGTTGACATAATTCCTCCTTCAGAAGCTAAAGTTGAATGATCAAAGTCTTTTTAGGTTTAAAATGATTACTATAATATTCTTAGTGATACAAAAGAAAGCTTTAATAGCTCTCCATGTCCATGGGATCAAATCCAATCACAAAGAAAGTTAGATTATATTGAGAAAATGATCAAAATTGTCCCTTATCTTTGTTTTAAGACTCAAAATGATCCTTATCCTTTCACATGGAGCACTAATGATCCTTCTACTTTGTAAAATGGTGCAGTTTTAGTCTGTCAAATATTTTCCGTCAGTCTCTAAAGGAAGTCGCTCATATGTTGCATTAACTTGATATGACCAAGTTTCTCTTTTCTAGAGGAAGAAGTGAAGTGATTATATTGTGAGCACATTTCTTCATTAGTATTATAATCTCCATATTATTATGTGAGCAGATTTATTTATATAGTAATTATATTAGTATTGTCTCCAATCTTTTGGTAGGATTATTTAAAAATTAAACACGATCAAGATTAATAACTCAAATTGACAAAATATTATTGACTTATTGATAATGATTTATTAAATTTATGATTCCATAAAAATAATAGCTTTCGAAATGAATAATAAAAGGGTAGAGTGTGCACACATCTTACCTCTACCTTCTCAGATAATAATATTATTTTCAGAAGATCATTTTCTGATCTTCCCTCTACCTTCTCTGATAAAAATATTATTTTCGAAAGATCCACAGCTCAAAAGAATTTACAATTTGATAATGGTCTTATTATAATTATTTTTGTGAATGATTAATTCTATAATGATTTATGATTTTTCTTGACGAATAACGGATAATTTGATAATAATTATTAAATTACAATTTTATGCTTAATCGGTAATAACAAGCTCTTATTTAAGACGTATTTTTTCTGAAATTCTGAATAATTTGTTAGGGTTTTGCCCTGATTTTCTTACCATAATTTAAGATTTATTTTTCCTTAAAGAAAAGATAAAACATTACATAAATGTTTTTACTTTTCTTGAAAGGAAAATATAATATTCTTTCATATTTGATTTATTCTCTCCTTTTAGGACTCTTTTTCTAGTAAGAAAAAGTTTTAGGACTTTATAAATATAAGTTTGTTTCTTCTAACACAAAAACAATAATATCCACAGTGTAGTCGTTTAAGACTTTTGTTTATGGGGAGATTTATTCTCTCTAAAGTTTCAATGTTTTTCTTTATATTAGTTTTTAGTATAAGTTTTTGTTATCTGATTTATCAACTATATGGTTTGCAAATTGTAAGCTTCCGCATGACGCCCAATCACCCTTCACAACCCAACAAGTGGTATCAGAGAACATGGTTCAATGATCCAATGGTTCAACAAGATTGAAGAAAAGTTCAAGTGGTTTCAAATCAATTTGCAACAAATTTGATGATAATGAATATTTTTGTGCTACTACATGTGGAGAAAAAAATTCAAATATATTTTCAACAATATCCTGCTGCTCCATCGTTTAAAACAAAATCAATTTTCAACTCATGTTTATTTTAGAGCATGGGCTCCAACTTTCAACCCCTGCAAACTTTAATGCTCGGGCTCCACTTTTAACTCATGCATCTTATTTTTAACGCATGAGCTCCACTTTCAACTCATGCGTATTACTTTTAACGCATGAGCTTCACTTTCAACCTTGTTCATCACTTTTAACACAGGGCTCCAATTTTAACCCATATCAATTTTTAAATCATGGTAAGCAGCAGTGATACATGAAGATTTTGTGAAGAACAAGATTATCATGCAATGAAGAAGACAGATCAAGCTTTGTCAAGAAAATCCAGCCAAAAGGGGAGATTTGTTAGGGTTTTGCCCTGATTTTCTTACCATAATTTAAGATTTATTTTTCCTTAAAGAAAAGATAAAACATTACATAAATGTTTTTACTTTTCTTGAAAGGAAAATATAATATTCTTTCATATTTGATTTATTCTCTCCTTTTAGGATTCTTTTTCTAGTAAGAAAAAGTTTTAGGACTTTATAAATATAAGTTTGTTTCTTCTAACACAAAAACAATAATATCCACAATGTAGTCGTTTAAGACTTTTGTTTATGGGGAGATTTATTCTCTCTAAAGTTTCAATGTTTTTCTTTATATTAGTTTTTAGTATAAGTTTTTGTTATCTGATTTATCAACTATATGGTTTGCAAATTGTAAGCTTCCGCATGACGCCCAATCACCCTTCACAACCCAACATAATTTACATGTTTTGTTTTGTTAGATCAATAGTTACATATATTAATAATATATAATATATATTTTTAGTTTTTCGTAATCTTTTCATTTGTACTTCTGGATATGCATATTTAAATATTTAACTTTATAATATATAATATTTTGGATGTTGCATATTGTTGAATTGTCACTTAACTTGATTATGTTTCGATGTTTATTTTAATAAAAAAAAGTTAACAGCTAATTGACAATCAATACATTAATAACCCATATCCTAACTTTTCTATAATGATTTAGTATTTTTATAAATTAATAAATCCAACTAATATATGAGGTGAATATTCATTGTGAATACCACTTAAAATTTATTCATTTGGTGACCTCAATAATTAATCTTTACCGTCTTAATGAATGGACAAATGGAGCTAAACGTGTAACTTGACGAAAAATGTTTGGAAGATTAAAACTGCACCATTTTTTAAAAAGAGGAGGACTATTAGTGCTCTCTATAAAAGGATGAAGATCATTTTGAGTCGTAAGGCAAAGATAAGGAATAATTTTAGTCCTTTTCTCGATTATAGTTGCAACACCACTTAATACTTATCCTCATTAGAACGAGTTTTGAGTATGATACTGAATCAAAACAAATATTTCATTTGAGATACTCTTCAAACAAATTCATTATTTCACCAATAGTTGAAATATTGAAGTTTAGTACACTGCTATCGTACTGATCACCCTATCACCTAGAAAAATGGGAATATTTAGGGCCTGTTTGGAAGGACATCCTGGTAATTAGATTTGGTGTAATTGGTGTAATTACATTGTCTTGTCCTGTTTGGAAGGACAAGTAATTACTTAGTCAGCAGGTAATTGGTGTAATTGGCAGGGGGTAATTACACTCTACAATTCACATGCAGAGGCTGTGAATTGCTGGTAATTACATAGTGTAATTATCACCTGATTACTTTTTAATTTTTTTTTGTTTTAACTTTTTTACTTCTATTATTTTAAGTTCTTTTCTTATTTTTATTATTCTAAAAATTTGTTTATTTTATTTTTTATTTTTTATTATTATATTTCATTTTCTTCTTGTTCTCAACCTTACTTTACGTGATTCTATGTAATTTTCTCGTATTATCTATTTCTTTATGCCATGCTTATTTTCTCATTAGCATAATTTTATTAGTATTCTAATTTTTAAATTAAAATAGAATTTATTTTTAAGTAAGGTTATAGACTTACGTTTTCTTTATTGAGAAAAAATAAAAATAAATCATATTTATTTCTATGTTGAAATTTGTTATAAGAGTATTATGTTAAATTTTTTGTTTTGAATTTATAACTAATGTTATATTTTCAGTTTCATTTGTTTAGTAATATTGAATTTACATTGCACGCCATTTTTTTAATTAGACTTGATAGATTATATTTTTGTCAAACATTTAATAATTTATGACATTTTATTTATATATTATTCTTTTTATCAAATATGCATTTCACGATATTCGTAGAAACTTCATACTTTTAGTTGTTACGATCAATTCAATTGAAATATATTAATTTGAAAATATATAAATCAATTATTTTTTCATAATATTAGTTACAAAAAATATGCTTATTAATTAATATATTTCAAAAAAGAATATATATCTTAAATATTTAATTTAATGTCATTTATAAAGTTTCTTATTTGTCTAGTATAAATTTTAAATAATTAATTTTTATTTTTAAAATTTATTATAATTTTATAATTGCAATTGTGCTTCCAAACAGAACATGTGTAATTACACTGTGGCATCTAAACATGACATGTGTAATTACAGTATAATTACACTGTGACAATCAAACAGATCAATGTAAATTATTAGACAGTGTAATTACTAGACTGATAATTACTACCCTAGTAATTACATCAATTTCAATTACCAAGTGACTTTCCAAACAGACCCTTATTATATTTGTAAATCCCTTGGAAACAAATCGCACCGCATGAATACTATACTAATATTTCAATATCTACGTTTCTTGTCACTATTGACCATAATTATTTAGGTAATTACACTACTCCCAATGTACACTATATGTCATTGTCTTGCTTTATGCTATTTTAACTATGATCATTGGCAAAGTTACATAACAAAGTTGACGTTAATCGTTGACGTCAGGTTAATGATTATATTTATGTATTATGTCATTTCAAATACCAACACTACTTATCAAGTACATACGGTAACATAACAAAGTGTTTTAAGAATATAATAATCGAAACAAATGAATATCAAATTACATTTTAAAAAATGTATTATTAGGAAATCCAACAATTCAAAAGCGCTTTTGGTTTGGATGAGTTTTTCCAAAAGAATACATCGTGTGATTATATTTGGAAACAAGTACAAGTATTTGCATCATGCTATGTCACACATGAACATGTTAACATCTCATGTTCTGATTATTTAACTAACTTACAATCCTGTACCTTGGAAATATCTTAATATGATAAACCATATTCTGAAGATTTTAGATTACTCTTCTGTTTCTTCTCTTAATCATATTCTGAAGATTTGAGATTACTCTTCTGTTTCTTCTCTTTCTCTTGGAACAGCACCAAAGTTGTTAACTAGTAAGTCGACGATTATTGGTACCAAATCTTCACAGGGAACAGACTTCTTATAAACTTCTCCTAAATGCGAGTCGCTCCCTATTCTGCCACCCAAGAAAACATCAGCACCTTCAACAGTCTTGCCTTCCTTTCTAGTCAGGCATCCCATGAATCCGATATCGGCAACTTGAACTTGTCCACAAGTATTTGGGCAACCTGTCCAGTGCATCCTCACTGGCTGTGTCACGGAGACTAGACGTTGAACCTCCTCAGTTATCTTCATTGAACGTGCTTTAGTCTCGATTATTGCTTGCCCACAGAATTGGTTACCAGTACAAGCCACCAAATTTCTCATGAGAATAGGTGGATCGGGAGAAAATCTCTTCTTTAGGAGAGGCTCATTGAGTAATGCATCGATCTTTGAGTTCTCGATGTTGGGGATAATGATGTTCTGTTCAACAGTCAGACGGAGCTCTCCTGAACCATATTCATCTGCCAAACGAGCTAGCTCGTCCATGTCATCTGCTTGGACACGACCCACGGGAATGTGAAGACCAACAAAGCTGTAACCCTCCTGTTTCTGCGGATGCACGCCAAGGTACTCTCTCCTTTCCCATTGTTTCTGGACCAAATCCTCTGCAGATTCTCTCTCTAGCTTCTGTTGGGGCATTCTCTTCACAACTTCTGCCCTGAATCCTTCAACACCCTGAATCATTGAGAAATTAAACCGTGAGAAAATGATTCCGGTTAGATCATCTACCGAAAAGTTTGGTTCTGCCTTGAAAGGGATATATATAGTAGTACATGAGTTAAGACTAGTAAGCGCTTGTATTCAAAACCAATATGCAACTCAAATGAAATGTTATCACGGAACTCATGTTCCTCAATCAGCACGATGTATGTTATGAATTTACAAACTCCAATTTAGGCAATACGTTAAGACAAATGACAAATTATTCTTTTAAAAGTAAGCATAGTGAATGTATTACTCACAAGTTCGTCAATTAACCACATCATTCTTGTTTTCTGTCTGTTCCCTCGGGTACCAAGATCTCTATAAGCTTCTAATATTGCTTTGCAAACAGGGACTACATCATCAGCTGGAACCCATGCATCAAGAGGAATTGCCTCTGCACATCGCTTCGGACTGAAGAATCCACCCACAAGCAGGTTGAATCCAAATCGTCCATCTTTGGTTGCAGGCATATAGGCAAGATCATTGATATGCGGATGCTCATAAAGATCGTGTGACCCTATTACACATACATTCCACTTCCTTGGCCTGCAATAACATCATTATATCGCAAAATCTAATTAGCAGATGCTTTAACGTAACCTCGATCAAAGCTATAAAGTTGAAACACAAAATTGTGAAATGTTTGGTGTAAAATACTTACAAGTTAGTCACGTCCACATTGCCACGAAAATTGGCGGTGACATATTGGGACAACAAATTAGTGTAAGGTCTTGTGTCTACAATTTCATGAGGATCAATCCCTGCAAGAGGGTTCCCCACCGGATTTCGAACATTATCCATGCCACTCTGCAGACTTGTCAAGCCAACTTCATCAAGTCCCTTTAGAATCTCAGGCACATCAGGTAACACAACCCCACGAATCTGCCAATTTTGCCTCGTAGTCACATCACCACATCCATCTTTCCCATATTTCCTAATCACACTAGCTAAGTATCGAGTTTGAGCACTCGTCGTTACTCCATTTGGAAGCTTCAATCGCATCATGAATCGACCATCTGATCATCAAAATATGAAAAATATGAATACGAATGAATTAATCAAATCCGATTTAGTTCAATTTTTGGTACTTACAGTGGTGTTTTCTCCGATGGAAGAGTCCAAGCCACTTGAGGCGAATATCAATATCTTCCTTAGTAAGCTTTGATTTCTCCATCTCTTCAACCGAGATCTTAGCAAGATCTTCAATACCATTTTCAGTGAATAATTTCATAGGTTCCTTTTCAATCTTCGCCTTTTCAGCTGGATTTATGCCTTGTCTGAACTTTTCCTTAAGTACCCAATACCCATCTTTTTGCTCCACTCTAGGCTCTAGTCTCTCAGCAGCTATCTCCGCCGCCCCAGATGACGGTACCGCCACCGTCTGCGGCGGAGTAGCATGAAGCTTGGAAAATCTATTAGAATTTGGAAGTGAAGTAGCTGAAAATTTAACCGAAAAAGATGTCATTTCGACAAATTAACAAGAACAAGCAAGTTAAAATTGAGAATTTAGTTGATTGAGGGTGGCGGTGATCGTCAAAATGGAGGAATAAGACCATTTATGTAGTCGTGAAGTGGGGTAGGGGGGACGGTGCTTGTGGACTCTTGGAAGTTCCAAAGGGTCGTTATTGTTTTAAAATTACAAGTGCTAATGACTAGGATATCCCATTCAAAGTCATTTCCTCTGTTCCAAAAATAATTGTTATATTTGATTTGATACCAAATTTTTTTAAAAAAATATTATATTTTTTAAAAAAGTATATCATTTAAAATAAGTGTAGGATGAGAGGAAGTTGCTCGAATTGTAAGCATCTTTTACTTTCAATCTGAAGATTGCGAGTTTGAGTCACAGAAAAAAATAAAAGGGGTGAGAGTTTCTAAGGAGGGTAATAAAAAAAAAGTGTTGGGGTAGAGAAAAATCATAGGTGTGTTATGTGAAGCTCCCTCAGGCAGGTTGTTTTTGGTGAGGGGCAACCTTTTGGGCCATCCATGGGTCAAGGAAAGAGACGTGTGGCCTTTTGATTAATGCTACAGGATAACTAGCATACATATCAAGAAAATGCTTGAGGTGGTTTTGCAGGATTGCTAGAAGAATTTTCTTATAGAGTGATAGTTGAAATGTAACTATAGTTTGTGGATTTATCAAAATAATAATAATAATAATAATAATTTATTTAAAATATAGAAGAATATATTGTATTGGCACGCAAAAAAAAAAAATAGTTTATTTGCGTATAAATAAGATATATTGTATCCACACACAAGTGAAATATAATGTACACGCAAAAAAAATATAGTTTATTTGCGTACAAATAAGATATATTGTTTCCACATGCAAGTGAAATATAAGTATATGTATGACACATATATTTTACCTGTTTTTCCCTCTATAACTTTTTCTAGCTTTTAAATGTGAATTATGACTTATCGGGATGGGTGATATGATTTTTAAGGTGCGGATGAGTTTAAGATAGTTCATTCTGAGAGTTGAAATTCAATAAGTTTGATTAAACTCAACATTTTGAGTTAATGAGATTGGATGCGAGTTGACAATTTCATTAGTTCTGGAAGGCAATTTATTATTTCGCTGGACACTTTGCACGAATCCCAGGGCACTCATAAGTGTTTTGAATAATTGAGATAGAATTTTAGAAGCTTGAGAAACTTAGAGTTGATCTCAATCATTATTTGATTAAGATGACCTTGGATCAATGATTTGATGACTCTTATAGATTCAGAATATGCTTAGTAGTCAATGTGCATATTCGGTTTATTCTGTGGGGGGTTCCAAACAAATCTCGAAAATTCATTTAGAGAATTGTAAGTTTTCGCTAAATATGTCAGTTGCATATATCTAGTGCAACCACATCCTTCTCTGCGTTTGCGCGTTCGAAAAGAAGGAAACAATGGATCAGATCACTCTTCACATTCGTGGTTTACCGCGAGACCCTCTTATTCAAAACTAGCCCATCACATTTGTGAAGGGCATCGTGATTAAAAACTTTCATGAACTTCACAACGTCTCTTTGTGTTTTGGAAAGTTAGGAGACTCAATTTTGGGTAATATTTGAAGCGTTGAATTCAATATTTTCTTTGGGGTAATATTCTAACCTTAAATTCAATATTTTTCTGCTAATTACTCGAGTATTTCAAGCTTTAATCCATGAAACTAGGTAGAAAAATTAGAGTTTTAGGTTAGAAATCAGGGTGAGTTGCATCCTTCGACAACACTGGATTCTAAACACTCTTTATATTTTATACCTTATTTTCTTGTAGACGGTTATATATTTTAGCCTTTTTGGTCTAGCGTTTTATTCATAGATGTTCTTGTATTGATTGTCACCAGATTTTGTAGTTGTTTTAATTTTTATGTCATTTTTTTCCGCGCCCATGATCATTTGGGAATAAAGAATATTTTCTTTATAATCGGTGACATGAAATTTGAAATTTAAAATGTAAAAATATATTGGTCCTCTGAAGCATGTTTGACGGTCTAAGTGTGATGGTCCGTCGACCTTGTCGTCATCTTGTCTCAGTTGCTTGGTTAGGATCCTTAGCTAGCCTGACATTCCGTCGCAGGTATGACGGTTCGTCAGAAGCCAAAATTCTGCATCGCCACTGCTAGTCTCCAATGATGGAGTTGACGGTCCATCGGGCATGTGATAGTCCATCAGTGCTCCCATTAGGGATCTCTTTTGCTTGCACTTAGCTCCATTTTGCTTCCTTTTCCTTTTTGTATGATTTCCTATCTAACATAGTAAAAGACAACTATTAAACACTATTGTTACTTAAGAACGAACATTTATTTATAGTGAAAAGTATCAAACATCAATATAAAGTAAGATTTGGCCTATATATATATTGGACATCCTTCGCCGGAAAATTACATTATATATATAGGTCAAATCTTACTTTATCTTGATATATTAAGTATTTTGGACACCCTCAACAACAGTAATGAGTTGTAGTTCAGTGGCAAAAGTGTGTACACAACACTACTAAAAAACTGCTAAAAAACTACAGAAGTAAAAGCGACGGACGACGTCACTCCAAAAAGCGACGCAATTAGCCACATTGTCCATCACTTTTTAATTAAAATAATTTTTTAATTTTTTTTAAAAGCGAAGGACGGCATCACTTAGTCCGTCACTTTTTTTCGCAGATTTTTACGCCAAATATATATATAATGAATAATTAATTATTTTATATAGATAGTGACGCAGTCCGTCACTTTTTATTAAAAATAATTATTTATTAATTTAAAAAAGCCACGCCGTCCTCCGTCGCTTTTTATTAATTTTAATTATTTAATTATTTTTTAAATAAGCGACGGACAACATCTTTATGTCCGTCGCTTCTTGGTCAAAATATCTAGTCAAATATTTTAAGAAAGCGACGGACAATGTCTCTTAGTCCGTCGCTTTCTTTAAAATATTTGTACTAGCAGACGCGATTTTCCCCATTTCTCCATCTCTCTTCTCTTCCTTCTCTCTTCCTCTTTCTCGAAGCCGACGCCGACGCTGCCCGTCACCGCTACCCACGCCTCCGCTGCCTACGCTGCCGCTGTCCACCGCTGACCCCGACCCCGACCCACTGCCCTTCTCCTTTAATTCAAGGTTAGGGTTTCATAATATTATTTTTAATTTCTTTCAATTTGAGTATTGAATTTGTTAATTAGTGTATTGAATTAGTTTTTTTATTGATTGTTAGTGTATTGAATTAGTTTTTTATTGATTGTTAGTTAGTAAGTGAATGATTTTGGTTTTTGATTGTTAGTTTGAATTAGGGATTATTTGATTGTTAGTTTGTGTTTGTTGATTGTGAATTGAAAATTTTAATGTTAGGGTTAGTTTGAATTAGGGTATCTTAGGATTTGTTTGAATTTCGGTATTTCTTGAGTTAATTAGTTTGATTTTGGAATTGTATGTTTAGTTTGAATTAGGGTATTTAAGGAGTTGTTTGAATTTGGGTATTATTTGAGTTAGTTTGAATTATTATTGAGATTATAGGACTAATAGTTTGAATTTGGGATTAAGAATAGCTAGCTAGTTTGAATTTAGGATTTTAGCACTAGTTAGATTTTGGGATTTTAGGACTAGTTTGAATTTGTGATTTTAAGACTAGTTTGAATTTTGAATTTAGGACTAGTTTGAATTATTATTGAGATTTTAGGACTACTAATAGTTTGAATTTGGGATTTTAGCACTATAGTTTGATTTTTAAATTCTAGGAGTACTTTCAATTTGTGATTTTAAGACTAGTTTGAATTTGGAATTTAGGACTAATAGTTTGAATTATATTTGATATTTTAGGACTAATTAATAGTTTGAATTTGGGACACTAGCTAGCTAGTTTGAATTTGGAATTTTAGGGATTTGAATTACAACTTAATTAGAACTTATAATTAATTATAACTTGAATTTACTATAAATTGAACTTAATTAGGAATATGAACTTGAAATGTTGTTGACTTTAATTTATTAGAACTTAATTTTTATTCTTATTAGAACTTGGATTTTATTTGAACTTAATTAGAATTTTGTAGTACTTGAAAATCTTATTGACCTTAATTAATTTGAACTTAATATAAATTAATTAGAACTATATTAAACTTAATTAATTTATAATAACTTGAAAACTTAATTAGAAATTAATATAAACTTAATTTTGATCAACTAATTAACTAGAACTTGAACTTAATTAATTAGTATTGATTAATTAATTAAGCTTTAACTTTGTAGATCTTGAACTAATTGAACTTCATTAGACCAAATAAATCATATTTTGAAGTTGAACTTAGAATTTGAACTTGAACTTGAAATTAGAATTTGAACTTGAACTTGAAATTAGAACTTGAACTTCAACTTAGAACGTGAACTTAGAATTTGAAGTTGAACTTAGACTTGAACTTGAAATTAGAACTTGAACTTGAAACTAATTAGCTTGAATATATAACTAATTAAGTTTAGAAATTAGATATGAACTTGAATTGAAAACTTGAACTTATTAAAACTTGAATATATATATATATATATATTCTTGGATTTGAAGTTTATATTTAACTAATTTTAGAACTTTTCGTGCTAGGCAACTGAGGAAGCTCAATATCTAAAAAAGTTGATACAAGACTATATTGCTTCTTTCATCAAAGTAGGAGATACGGTTGGTGCTTCTAAATTTCTAAAGTTCAAGTACAATTGTTTTCAATAATGTGTTTGTGTCCATCTAATGTTGATACTTAGCTTTAATTTTGTGATAATTTTTTTGTGTCCATCGAGTGTTTGTTAAGCATAAGTACTAACACTAGTTGATCCTATTGATGACAAAATTGGTTTTCTTGCAAGATCGATTTGTGTCCATTTAGTGTTGATATTAAGCTTTAATTTAGGAATAATGTGTTTGTTTAGCATAATTACCAATACTAGTTGATCCTATTGATGACAAAATTGATTTTCTTGCAAGATTGATTTGTGTCCATCTAGTGTCGATATTAAGCTTTAATTTAGGAATAATGTGTTTGTTTAGCATAAGTACCA